AGTGGATGTGGGACGGGTGTGGGCGACATCACCTTTAGAACAGACCTAAAGGTGCACTATGAACCCTGATGTGAAAACCAAAATATCTTAAACCCACTGCCATCAAGTTGATCCTGACTCACAACGCCCCTAGAGGACAGAGTGGAACTTCCCCAAAGCAATGCCCATACCACACCCACTGCCATAGAGTGGATTCTGACTCACAGCGCCCCTAGAGGACAGAGTGGAACTGCCCCACAGGGTCTTCAAGGCTGTCAGTCTTCACAGAAGCAACCCCCAACCACACCCACTGCCATGGAGTCGGTTTTGGCTCACAGCGCCCCTAGAGGACAGACTGGAACTGACCCCAAGGGTCTCCAAGGCTGTCAGTTTTCATGGAAGCTGACTGCCTTGTCTTTCTCCCAGGCATCTGCTGGTGGGTTCGAACCACCGCAGCTGAATGCCCTAACCACTGCACCACCAGAGCTCCTTCCCTGCTCTGCAGCACAGAACAAACCTCAGCGACCACAAGGCGAGCACGCGTGCGCGGTGGAACTGGGGGCCGGCCGCAGGCCTACCTGTGGGCAGCTGGGCCAGGTGCTTGAAGGCCAAGTGGAGGTTGTGCCTACAGAGTGCCTGGGGGTCGTTCAGCAGGAAGGACAGGGCCAGGATGACATCATGCTCTAGAAAGCCCTCCCTGGGGGAAGACAGAGTGAATGAGAACTAAGAACACATGCAGCAGTAGGCTCCTTGCCTCCCGTGTGGGAGGCCCGGGTTCGATTCTGGCCGGTGCACCTCACATATAGCTACCACCAGACTGTCAGTGGGGGCTGGTGTGTCCCTGTAATGTTAATGGGTTTCAGTGAAGCCTCCAGACTCAGTGACAGGAGCGAAAGAACTGGCTGTGTACTTCCCCAAATCGGCCAATGAGACCCTACAGATCGCGACACGCTGATCCCCAACCCATCTCGGGGTGGCCTGGGACTGGGCGTGGTTTCGTCCCACTGTGCACAGGCTTGCTGTGGGTTGGGGGCTGAGTCCACGGCAGCCAAGAACAGCAGGAAGACCATGTGACTCTCTAGGCCTGACAAGATGCAAGAGCCAAGTCAGCTGCCCCCACCCATTCGAGTCTGAATCCTTGCAGCCTGGTGCCAACGATGCTGCCCAGACTCCATGAAGGATGATGAAGGCCACAGGGGGACAACAGCGGGCAGAGCTATCAGACTGTGGGCTGATGGGACAGCACATATCCGAGATAACACAGCGGCCACGCTTTGGGCTCAACCAGCTCAGCTCCATGGACGGCCAGAACAACAGACAATCTGTCCTGGAGGAAGTGCAGCCGGAATGCTCCTTGGGAGTGAGAATGGCCAGACTCCGTCTCACCTACTCTGGTCATGCTGTCAGAAGGGACCATTCCCTGGAGAAGGAGATCATGCTTGGTAGAGTGGAGGGTCAGTGAAGTAGGGGAAGACCCTCAACAAAATGGACTGACACAGTGGCTGCAACAATGGGCTCAGGAACAGCAAGGATCGTGGGCTGGCGCAGGACCGGGCAGTGTTTCGTTCTGCTGGGCTTGGGGTCTCTGAGTCAGATTTGACTTGACGGCCCCTAACAACAACAACAAGCTTGGCCCCTTCCGAGTTGGGACTCAGACTTGGGCAATTTGTGGCCCTGCCATGTACTCCCACCTTCTAAGCTCTCAGTCTCACAGTCCCAGGGCAGCAGTAGGTCATAATCACCTGCCTGACCTGCCAGGCGGAGCCCACCACCCGCTCCACCTGCCAGGGGTGAGACAGGCAGAAGATAGCAGGACCCGAGGGGAAACTGAAAAAATACAAGCTGCCAGCCTCACTGCCGTAATCAGAGACTGACCCACGGCCTGACTGGGAACCGAACTGGCGTCCCCAGGGACAGCGCATGCATGCCATGTGTGGTAGTTCAGTTTGTGTGTCCACATGGCTGGGCAGCTGGATGTAGTATTCCCCATGATGAGACTGGTCATCAACTCACGGTGGAATCTACTGTGAGCAGCTGAGTAGCTGCCTTAGGGATGTTGTCTGCTTCCCGTATATAAGGAAAAGCCTCTAGCTTCAGTGGACCGGGAGCTGGAGGCAGAGCTGAAGCCCAAGGCTGAGTGAGGGGCTTTCACCCAGCCCCTAGCGCCTGGCACTTTGAACTTGTACTGAAAGCCTCCAAACTATGAGAGAATAAACCCCTGTTTGCTAAGGCCGTCCCATTTGTGGTATATTTTTGTCAGAGCAGCACTAGGGAACCAGAACACCATGTCTTTCTGAGAGACGACCATCCCTTCTCAGAAAATCCCCACCTGTTTCAAAACCCTTAAAAAC